AAAGGCCTGGACCGCTGCCAGCCTGGGCAGGGAACAGCCGGGAACGCGTTCCCCAACGGCTCAGCTCGCTCCCGGCTCACACTCCAGCTTTGTCCCCATGTTCACCAGCCTCATGGTCACTCAGCCATTGACACTGAGAGCAGGCTCAAGAGGGGAGCTCTGGGGTTCCCACAGGTGGGGAGAGGGCAAGAGGTGACCATGAGACTTCCGCTTGGCGCCTGAGCCGCCCTGGGCAGTCAGAGCATCCCTTGCCTGGTGTGGCTTCTCCAGTGTGTAATAGAAGTTGAGCACACACTGCAAGCGCTTTCCTTAGAAGATGGGCACTGGGTGGCATCTCTCCCTTCTCCTGGGCTGCCTCTTGGCACAAAACCTGTAGGAGGTTCCTGCCTTGGAGACCTGTAACCTTAAGACAGTGGGAAGGAAAAGCTGGAAAACGGCTAGAAATCCAGGACACAAGAACCCTCTGCTGGGCTGGTTTAACCCCGTACTAGGGGCTCATGGGCAGGGTGTAGGGAGTGGGCTGGGAGAGAGGTGCTGGCGGGAGGAGAGCTGGCTGATGAAGCCAGGCTGGGTGTCAGGTCCCCCAGGACCTGGACTGAATGCAGTCCTGAAACGGAGGCGGTTTTGGCATCACGAGGCTCTCCCTGGGGATCACTGCTTTGCTCCAACCAGCACCAACGCTGGTTCTTTCCCAGGAGAACACTCTGGCTGCCAAAATACATCAGGCTGAGAGCAAAGCTTGGGGCCATGACCAGCTCCTGCCCCATTTGTTGGCCTCTCCTGTCTCACGCTGCCTGCAATGGGTCACAGCAAGGTTCCCCAGGGGCTGGGGTGGCCTTGGGGGACAACCTCCACTGCCACTGGTGTCACTGGGTCACTTCATCGCACTGCTCTGGCTGGAGACTCTCTCAAGGGATTGGATTTCCACGCAGTTCACTCCACAAAACAGCCCGTGCTCAGCCTGGGGGAACTGGCAGGAAGAACGCCGACAGCCCTGGGTTAGACTTTCTTCATCTGGACCTTTTCTTGTCTTTTCACCTCCGAGTAGCTGGTGCCAGAGGCAGGGTCATGGCAGGGAGGTCTGAGACGAGCCTTGAGAAAAGCCGGTGCTTGTGCACGGCCCCAAGGATGCGTTTTAGAGCAGCCCTAATGCACAGTTTTCCTCCCAGCATCTGATCCTTGGGTGATGCACAGGGAACTGTAAAAGGGACAAAAGACCATCCGACCCACGGCACCAAGGAGGGTGAGGGTGTCAGGATCTGGCCCCATGGGCTGCACTTGCACCCACACATCCCCTATACCTGCTCCCCAGGACATTCCACGGTGATGCACCCCATGCCAGTGAGCCCCAGGGTTGTGTGGGGCCACAGGGCTGCCAGATCAAAGGCCACAGTGACTGGATGCTACTTCTCCTCCGACCATGGGGACCAGGCTGTTCCTCCCCTGGGGAAAGGTTATTTTCCTGCTGCCTTCCCACAGGAACAAACATGAATTGTTTAAATGGCTTCAGCGTTCATGGGACAGGTCCTTTCGGAGCCAAGCTGCACGCAGGGAGGGGAAAGCCCAGGGGACTTTTTAATAACTAGCAAAGGGAGCTATTAAAGTGTTTTACTGCCTTGTTAAGACACTCTAATCTCTGTGTATATCTTGGAAAAAAAAAAACAAAACAAAACTGGCTTGCTGGTGTTTTTATTGTAACAGAGGTGGGTGTTTTCTGGCACTGGCCAGGATCCCGTCGGCTTTATCAGCTGGTTTTCTTACCCGATACTGGCGCTGAACAGCCCAAGAACAGCCCAAGGGCAGCAGCAGGCAGGGCCAGGCAGGAGAGAGGCCGCAGATCTGCGCTGCAGGCTGATTTTCACCCACGGGTGCTCTGCACCCCATCACCACACCCACCTTTCAGCCAGACGGAGGTCCCTGGGGCGTTTTCCCACGGTAGGTTTGGGATACGTTGGGTCTGCATGTGCCTGGGAAAGCCCAGAGGTGGGTGACCCCTCATCCCACAGCCCAGAGACGGGGCAGGAGATGGCAGGAAAACTGTGAGGTCTCATCCATCCCTCCAGCTCCAAGGGCTGGGATTTGGGGGATACCCAGATTTTGGTGCTACGGGCAACTGAAGCTCCTGTAAGCTAGGCTGAAGAGTCCATGCCCTGGGAAACCCCAGCAAAGGCTGATTCACGGTGATACAAAGACAACCGACCACCAGGGTCTAGGTTTGGAGGAGGAACGGGCTGGGCATTTTGTTTCTAAGCTTTTCTTCATTTTACTGTATTTTATTTTATTGTTTACCCCAGCCCAGCAGAAAATGGGGGAAATCTTGCCGAGTCCTGCTGGCTCCAGCATCCACCCCTCCATCTGCAAAAGCTCATGGTTTCAAAGCCAGGAGCCGGAAAGGATGCTGAGGCTGTGACGGTGGGGCTGGATAAGCAGCTTTGCGTTTGCTTTGGAAAGGCTGATGTTTGCATGAGCGTCAGCTCCAGTGGTTTTAAAGGGACCCACCCAGGAGCAAATCCCAACAGCCTGAAATCAGAGCTTTGGCTGATTCCACCCTGGGCTGGGCTGGAGAAACCTCTGTCCTACACCCAGACCCCCCTTGCACATCCTGGGTGGAGGAAGCAGAACAAGAGAAGCAAATGGAGATCCCAGTACAGCTAACAGGGCTGGAAAATACATCCTAGCAAGAACTGCCCTGGACATTTGGGGTAGGAAGGGTGAAGCTGCCATCTGTAGCTGGAGACATAGTTCAGCTGAGCTCAATATGCCCCACCTCCTGGATATCCAGCCTTACCAGCATCCTCACTGCTGGCAGATGTGCTCTGGTACCCAGCTGCTGGAGGAAGCGTGATTTTAGATGTCACCACCCTGGTGTGAGGAGGGACAGATCCCTGGACATGTGGTGTGTGCCTGCTTCAGGACTTGGGGCTAAACCTGCCCTGCCTGCAGTGCTGGCAGCTCCAGCGCGTTTCAGCCCGAGGCATCCCCCTTTCCTCCAGAAACGCCCGTAAGCTCAGCAAAGCACCAACAGCGTGGCCTGGGAGAAATGCTACCATTTATTAAGCCAGCTATTTTTTGTCGAGAACGATTTTAACAGCACTGGAGGACTTATCCCGTCTGCCCCCGGGACCCTCAGCTGATTCATCGCATGCAGGGCTAGAAGGAAAGCGGGGGACAGCCAGCCTCGGGGGATGCAGTAGCTCAGCAGCGGCGGGGGGACGACGGCGGGGGGGGGGAGGTGCAAGCCAAGCACGGCTGTGCCGTGGGCAGGTGGGATGCTTGTGTAGGGCAATCTGGTCCTGGTTCACTGGGATTCCCCTAAGTTCTTGGCAGGTACCATCTCTGGGAATTTTGGATGTTATCTTGCTCCCCGTGTCCATCCAGGGAAGGCCTGAGGATCTGCAGGGGAAGGGAGGGTGCTCGAGGGTCTCAGCATGGAGGGTAGTTTCCACTGAAGGTGCTGCTTCAGAGATACAAAGCTGAACCTGTCGTGCATTCGACAGCCTTCCTAACCACAGCCAGCTCACATCTCGCGTCTAGAAAGAGTCACAGCCAGGTGTTCCCTCTCTCTTGGCTTCCCACTGACATCAGGAGATGTTGTTCCCACTCCCACCACCCCAGCAAGGAAAGAGCCAGGCTGTGACCCATGCAGGCAGCAGAACAACAGCACCACAGCGAGAGCAAAGCTATTACAGCACTCGGCCGGGGACAGACCCACTGACAGGCTGTGAAGCCAGGACCCTCCAGCCTTGTCCACACGCATGGAAGAGTCCCTCTCCTTGAGGCAGGGGGCTGCGGGATGCTCAGGTCCTTCCCTGCATCTTCTGGTGAAGGCAGCAGGTCCTGGCCAGGCTCTCACACAGCTCCATCTGCAAGCCATGCTCTACAAGTCAGCGAGCGGTGTGCTGAGAGGCATGGTGGGTGGAAAGCAAAAGGCACAGGCAGAAGCCAAGGCTAAAAGGACAGAGAAGATGTCTCCAGGACAGGGTCACTGCACATCCACCCCAGCAGAGGAGTCACGTGTTTCTGGTTGCTGGTAGGGGCAGAGACCTGGCACATTCATCACACAGATGGAGAATCCCAGCCATCCCCCCCATCACGCTGCGTCAGAGGAAAGCACAAGCCTTTCAGAGTCTGAGCCCTGCAGGCTCTGCCAGGCTGCCCGGACGCTGCCACATCCCGGGTTTTCCACAGGACCTGGTCCCGAGGTGGAGAACTGCATTTCCATCTCCCAGCCAGTGCTTTGCCCTTCTCATGCGATCCCACGAGGAAGGGCAGTCTGCACCGTGATCCTTCCTCCGCAGGGCACGGATGAAGGCTCCCTAGTCCAACAGGAGCAGCTACAGTGACAGCCCTGATCACGCTTCAGATTGGCTTCACAAAGGTGATTAAACCAGGCAGGGCTTCACCTGCCGGGAAGGGGGTTTTAGCATCCACCATGTGCTGTGGCCAAACCCCAGGTGCCCCAGGTCAACTCTACCCTGGGTGGACACTGGCCTT